CAAATGCCGATCGTCCCTGTCAGCTGCATTCTACAAGGCAAAACGTGTCGATCGAAGTGAAAGATATTGCAAGATAATACAACAAAGTAGTCATCAAAACGTATTCAGTCTTCCACATTATTTTGCATACACCTTAGTAATCGAAAAGTAACCAAAATTTCTTCGATGATTTCAAAGTTTTTCTATGAAAAATCGAAGGACTTTTTTTAAGAAGGGAACAATTGCCTTTACGCTGGCAAAAAGCGTTAGAAAGTGATGGAAATTATTTTGTTGATTTAAGATTTCAGCAAACAAAATTTTGATTACTTTTCCCCTAATATATTCAAATCAACGTTATTTTATAAGAAAATTATAAACACTGGGTGCAACTATAGTGCTTTTAAGAATAATCGAGCACAACAGGTGAAAATAGTTCTTTGAGTACCAGAAACAAAGGCTTCCTCGCTACATAGCCATCTCTATTCATAAACAGTGACAAAGAATTGTCCGATCCAATTTAAAGTTTGTCTATTAAATTCGAAATTTTCTCCACTCGAGAATCAATCGTCGATTCAAACGATTTTTATTCCATTTCAATCGTTTATATTGAAAACGTTCGACCGTGACACGATGTAGTGTCCTCAAAATAGACTGGAACGACCTTTCAGAAACAATCTGCACATTTTCATTGGCACAGCGAAGAGATGAAAAAAAGGAAAAACGAGAGAGATCGCGGACGAAGGTCGAGACAAATAACGAAGCGATTATCAACCGGGTGATTCGTTGCTTTAATTGATATCGTTTACGCACGCGATCCGAGAAGCAATTAATACTTGTTCCGTAGCAGAGTTTCGTTTGTTCGGGGGCGAAATCGGTTATTCGAAAGGGGAACACACTCGAAACCGATTCCTCGAATCTTCGTTTCAACCGTATCCTTATCAAAGCCGGAAACGGGATACACGGGTTGCCTTTTAGGAGAAAAGAGCAATTAAACGCGACGCCGTATCGCTGAATCGTCTCTTATCGGGACAAGCCTTATGATTATCGATTATTTTAACTTTGAATTTTACTATATTTTTTGTGATTTTAAACTTTATTTGACATTCTTTAATTTGGTGGACTATATTTCATTTTTGATAACACTTCTTAAGGGTAGTTTTACTGTTGGCAGATAATTTTATAAATTACTGCAATATTTAGTCCGGTGGACTATATTTAATTTTTGATAACACTTTTGGAGGGTAGGGCTGTTGGCTGATAGCATTTTTAAAAATTACTGTCGGTATGGAATTAAGAAAATTATAGCTGAGGTGTTTACAAGTTAATTTATTTACACCGTCAATTTTTTTATTTTTCTTTTAAAAATTACTGTCGGTATGGAATTAAGAAAATTATAGCCGAGGTGGTTACAAGTTAATTTATTTATTTTCATCGTCAATTTTTTTATTTTTATTTAAAAAATTACTGCAATAGGCATGGAATTAAGAAAATTATAGCTGTGGGGTTTACAAGTTTTATTTATCTCCATCGGCAATTTTTTTTCTTTTTTTTTCGAGTAGTGAAGGGTTTGAGTATGGATCGAACATTAAACCCTTGTACTCAAAGGCAGTTTTGCTGGTGACACAGCTTTAAAACTTGTCACGATAACAATCATAGAATTAAGAAAATTATAGCTGAGGTGTTTACAAGTTTATTTATCTCCATCGTCAATTTTTTTTCTTTTTTTTTCGAGTAGTGAAGGGTTTGAGTATGGATCGAACATTAAACCCTTGTACTCGAAGGCAGTTCTGCTGGAGAAACAACTTTAAAACTTGTCACGATAACAATCACAGAATTAAGGAAATTATAGCTGAGGTGTTTACAAGTTTATTTATCTCCATCGTCAATTTTTTTTCTTTTTTTTCAAGTAGTGAAAGGTTTGAGTATGGATCAAATATTAAACCCTTGTACTCAAAGGCAGTTCTGCTGGTGACACAACTTTAAAATTTGTCACGATAACAATCATGGAATAAAAAAAAAAAATAACTAACTATTTGCAAGTTACAATTGTTAAATTCATTACTTTATTTCTTCTTCAATGTAAACAGCGTAACATTTGATTATGTATAAAACATCAACCCCCTGCAATTTGAGGTTATGTTTGCTGTTGATGTATAACAACTTCAACAATATGTTAAACGATGACGATAATCAAATTAATATATGCTTAATATTTAAAACAGTAATAAATAACAACTAAAATATGCCATTGTTTAATTGCTGATCTGAAGACATTCAGATCTGAATTAATTTCAAACTTCTTCTTTCTTATCATTTTATCTGAAAGTATTTTTTTATCATTATATATTCTTATCATTTTATCTGAAAGTATTTTTTTATCATTATATATTTTTATCATTTCATCTGAAAATACATATGTCTCTCTTTTGAGTAAACATATTCAGTTACTTTACACTGTCCAAACATTTCCGTACATTTAAAGAATTCCTACAGAAACTGCAATTATTTAGTCGGACCATAGGAACATTCACTTCCGAGAATTATCGTAGCAAGTTCCATCGGTAACAATACCAACGAAAGCGGTAAGATGTTTCTAATTGTTATGTACGTGTGCGAAGTTGCCGGAGCTTCCCGGAGCAGATTCCTGTAAAGTTGCGAGCGAAGACGCGGCCCCGTTTAATATCGAGGAAACCATCGTGAGTTCCGATCGGAATTTCGTGTCCGAAACTTTCACGCGTGACTTCGCGAAACGATCGGAAGCGTTTCGATTCCCTAATATCGCCATCCACATCGGATAACTTATCTTTTGATCGTCGAACACCGCGAAATTTTCCTCGATTCCTACGTAGACCTATTCTTGTTTCTTCCTATTTGCTTCCTCATCGAATCGACTAGGATTTCAGATCCTGCGGAAAAGGTTTCGCCTGAGGGGAATTCGAGGAACGCTCTCGAGAAGCTGGCGATTTTTCCCACAGATATTCTTCGACGCTGAAGGGAACTCTAGGTGCTCGATGAAAAGCGTTTGTAGAAAAATGACTGTGTATTGAAAAATTATGTGTTCTATCGATGGGAGGTGGTCAAATTAATCTTGGCTACTAAATTCGATCTTTCAAATCGGTTTCAAAATGAAAGGCTCCATTAAACTACTTTTGTAACTTAACTTATGATCAAGTTTAGTTATCTTTTTAAAAGGGTAAGTTGGTCAAAAGTGTTCGTAAACGGTTTTACCCTGTAATGTACCCTTCGATGGCTTACCAGACCAAGTTTCAACCCTGTATCTCAACCGGGAGGGTTGTTACGAGCGAACTCCGGTTATCGAGTTTCGCCCTATTTTCTCGATTTAATGGCATGCAAAAATTTCGAAAATGAAGCTGGTCAGAGAATTTTCTAACATCGTGAACAATTTTTTCATAATTTTTTTCAAACAGTAAAATAAAATGAAACTACGATCAGAAAACTCTCGGTTCAGAAGATTACCCTACTTTTTGTTCAATTATCGAACGTCAGAAGGTAAAATTAGTTGAAACCATCTTCGCAAAATTTCCGCATTATTCTTGCTCGCATTCTGCGAGTAGAAATATAACGCCATAAAATGTGCGAAACAATACTGCCATCGTTAACGACGAGGAATTCATTTCGGATAAGCCTTCGTCGGTGAAAAAAAGCGGAGAAAAAGTAAAAATTCATCCTCCAAAGCCCGTATAACGTTCGCGGGTTGAAACTCCAGGAATTTCCACGTCAGGAATTTCAGCGAATTTAATCTCCAAACGAATGATAGAGAAAAGGGGACAGTATCTGTTAGGAGAGGACTCGAAAAGCAGAAACGCGCGAAAACATCGAGGCGCGCGGCTCTTTTGAAAACGCGAAAATCGAGCGGCGCCGAGTAAAGTTTCAATTTCGTCGGTCCGCGGGATTAAAATGGCCGAATGCCGGCGCGGTCGTGTTCCATTAACTTTTTGGGGCTGGTAAACACAAAAATGTCGCGCTCCCGCGACGAATCCGTTTTCTTCGTCTCGTATTTCCAGCAGCGTCGAGCGGACACCGAGAATTCGCCCGCTCGTTAATTAGTTCTGGCTGTCGCGTTAAAGGCGACCGCTCAAAGCTCCCATTCGTTCACGAACGAAACCTAGATACCGAACGAGCCTCGAACCAGCCGTGTATACACGGATCGTTGAAATTTATTGGAAGCTACGAGCTCCGGGAAAATACGGGGCTATTCAGACTTTGAGCAAACTTCGCGAGTCTTTGATCAACCATATTTGTACGCCTCACTTTGAATCTCTGTGTCGTACAGAACGTCCCACTTCTTCCTCTTCTCCTTCTCGATTTTTCTGTTTTCGAGAGTGCTTCTGAACGCGATCGATCTATTGCGGAGTTCGTCTTTAAATTTTGTCCTGATTTTCGAATATTTCAATTGGAGCATGTTGGATACGCTTGGATATAATCAGGGGGATATTTGAGAGGATCTGGGACGTTGAAATGTGGGAATACGGAGAGACGAGTGAGCTTGGGACTAAGAATGTTAAATCTATATCTATTGGAATTTACGAATCTGCATGTATGAGGGTTTAGGAATATTTGAATGAATATTCTTGGAATCTTGAGACAGTTATCTGAGGACACTGGAATTATTGAGACGTAAATCTGAATCTCACGAAACGAAGATCTGGTCATATTTATTACAGATTGCATCCTACGAAGTTCGAATCCGAATATATTTATCCAAGAATATTTAAGTTGATTTTCCTGCCCCCTCTTATGCAACTAACCCCATTTTTGTAAAGGAAAATCTTGTTCAGAATGCCTGTGCCACCCTTTTCAGGGAGACTAGTTACCCCTGAAAGTTACCTCTGACTAGTTAGCCTGTAGAATTATCTAAAGAATGATCTACTTTCTTAGAATCTATCGTCGTTGGCGATACCCAGAAAGATAGTCGTTGAACGATAAAGCAATCGAGCATACGGTCACGAGCTATATTTAGCAACTGACAGAGTAACGAGCAGTTAATCGTAGATACTCACTTTCTAAGAGTAGCCAGACGTTCTTCCTGAGCCTTGATATAGCCGTTGAGAGTGTCGATGAGAACCGCTTCCGTTTCCAGAAGCTCTTCCATGCCCGCCAACGCGGTGTACAGCTCACCGAAACAGCCGTGGAACGTCGCCGAGATCAAAATCACCGTCGCGACTGTCAACATCCTGCTGCTTCTCATTTTCGACGACTTTCTGTAACCAGCCAACAGAAACGAAACGTTTTAGACGGCAGCACGCTCGAATGCAGACTCCTTTGATGAAACATGAAATGCACGACAAGTCTCGCGCTATTTGTATTATAATTACAGGAAATGGGAGGTGAAATAAGATGATTCACGATGTATGTTGAATAGAAGCTTTATTTTTGAAATTTAAGGGAACAATTTTTGAGGAGATGTTTGGATTGTAGGCTCTGATGAAGGATGGATGTATGAGTCTCACACTATGTATTTATTTTCGAAATTTAAACAACAGGAAGATATTTGGTTGCAATGTAAGCTATAATGAAGGATGAATGTACAAGGAGGCTCATACTATGTATTTATTCTCGAAATTTAAACAACAGGAAGATATTTGGTTGCAATGTAAGCTATGATGAAGAAAGAATATATAAGAAGGCTCACACTATGTATTTATTTTCGAAATTTAAACAACAGGAAGATATTTGGTTGCAATGTAAGCTATGATGAAGGATGAATGTACAAGGAGGCTCATACTATGTATTTATTCTCGAAATTTAAACAACAGGAAGATATTTGGTTGCAATGTAAGCTATAATGAAGGATGAATGTACAAGGAGGCTCATACTATGTATTTATTCTCGAAATTTAAACAACAGGAAGATATTTGGTTGCAATGTAAGCTATAATGAAGGATGAATGTACAAGGAGGCTCATACTATGTATTTATTTTCGAAATTTAAACAACAGGAAGATATTTGGTTGCAATGTAAGCTGTGATGAAGGATGGATGTACAAGGAGGCTCACACTACTTTTATTATAATTATAGGAAACGGCTGGTGAAATAAAATACAATACATGTTTTATAGATTGAAGCTTTGTTCTTAGAAAATTAATGTACATAAGTACTCATTGATATTAAGACATTAATGATAGATTGCACCAACATCATAATTGATCAGACAACATACTGACAATATGAGCTGTATCGATTTAACCTCATTGAACAAATTTTAAACGTCATTAATGTATCAGCTTAATCGTTGTATCACCTTTTTGTGCATCCCCTTTCGTTCCTCTTTATCGAAATAAAAAAAGAAATTAACGAGAATGAAATGAAGATAGATGACTATCAATTAATCACGCGCAAGATGAAAAAAAGGCGATGTTCGCGGATTGATTCGAACCTTCGTATTTCCGTGCTTAACGCCCCCTCAATGAACTATTAACTCGCTGAATTTCCAGTCTCGCTTCGCCGCCTCTCCGATGGATTTATCGATAGATCTTTCTCTCTCTCTCCTTCTTTCTGGTTTCGTTCCGTCAGGACGCCACGGGCTAAAGTAAAAGTCGCGCTCACAATTTAATCGCGAGTCGATCGAGTCTGACTCGATTATCGCGATTCATCAGGGGCTCCCTCTGATGTTGCCAGCGATCGAACCTTCATCTTCTTGTTTCGATAAAAGTTCCGTGATTGCATTAGCATTCCAAGTTTCAAAGAAGCCATCCGTCTTTTCCTCCGTCTCTTAAGACGCTTTCGACAAACTTTCCTAGGAGCCTTTTTCCTTCCACTGCATCGAGATGCTCGTCGATTAACCCCTTCCCTCGGACTTGCCGTATCATTAATATCGCGCCACCATTTATTTAGAAATCCCTGCGATACGCTCATTCTTCACCTTTTCCTGAATACGCGACTCCAAAATATTTAAGATCATACTGATAATTTAGAGGTTTATGAATTCTGAGATACAAGAAATTGGAGATCTGGTTTTGAGGAACTCCTAAAGTGGGAATTTAAAGGTTTGGCAGTTTAGGAATTGGGAGATCTAAGGAATGGAACAAGTGGATAATGTGGGGACTTAAAAATGTTGAGCTGTAGAGGTTTGGCAGTTATGAATTTGGAAATACAGGAATGTAGAGATCTAGAAATGGGGAACTCTTAAAATGGGAATTTAAAGGTTTGGCAGTGTAGGACTTGGGAAATCTAAGGAATGGAACAAGTGGATAATGTGGGGACTTCAAAATGTTGAGCTGTAAGAATTTGAGGATCAATAACATAGAGATACAGGTATTAAGAAAACCAGTGATTTCGAGATCTATAAACTTACAGACACAGTCCGATAACTTTTAATACCCCAAAAATTAGAAAATTAAAAAATTTGCCACATCCCCACAGTTCAGACACCTATCATCTTTGCTATCCAGAAAGCTATCGATCCACAGTCCTCCAAAATGTACCACCCCACAAATTTTCGTACAATGATTTTTGTGGTGCATTTAGTCAGTGAAAAGATTTCGGTTGATTTTCGGGTAGATAGCGGTTGCGAAAGGACCGAAGCAAGAGCCGTTTAATTGAAGCGAGTGTACGAACAAACGTCTCGGTCGAGCGAGCTTCAGCGGAATCAAACGGACGATACAAACAGGACACGGCACACGACCTTTGATAAAGTTTGCTCACGATCGAAATTGATATCGTCATATTCCCGACGGTAATTCCACGCGAATTGTATAACCGTTTTGTACCGCTACCGCGACAAACATCGTTTCTATTCTGAAATAATATCTCCGGATCGTTGATCGACGGTCAACGACTGATCATCATCCGAAACTTTATCTTACTCTTCCAGACTTTTATCATTATTCTTCGCTTTCTCGAGTTTTATGTACTTATCGATCCTTTGAACATTAGTGGCAGGAATTATTTATGAACTTTATTAATTTTCTAACGTTTAATGCACTTTTGAACTACTATTCAGCTTTTCGTCGTGGGAATAATTTATGCAGTCGTGGATAGAAGTTTGCAAATGGTATCGATTTTTGTATTTCATGTACCTCGTTACAAGAAAATATACAGCATACATTAATATTCGGAAACTATAAAATTGCACTACAATTTTGTTTATAACAGTAAATTGCGCATACATGATAAAAGTGCTTGATTTGAAAGAACGACCTAAACCTGTTTAATTATTTTACGTTAATTTATCGAATATTATACGGTATTTAATTTTCTGTGCATAATGTATATCGTCATATTTCGCGTCTGTAAATAACGCTGCAATATGCAAAGCATTCCGTAACCCTTAAAATTCACTGGGAACGTCGCAACCTAAAATTCCTTTCACGGCAATTCACAATTCCACGCCACGTTCCGCGCGTTCCTCGATCAAAACGTTCAGGATAAAAACAATGCGCTTGAGATACTACTATGACGTTTATATTTTTCGTTTATTACGTTTCTCGACAGTTATGAAGGGAAGGCACCGTCGAATTAACTCACACTTTGTATACTTATATTTATGATTACAAATGTTAAATACAGTTTTGAAAGCATTAAACTTAAGATACCGTTGTGGGGTAGCGGTAGCGTATCGGAGTAGTACACCGTTGATCAGGGTTCAAATCCCCTGTGGATGAAAATATTTTTTTTATGCATTAAACTTTTTTATTTATCCAGCAACGTATTTGATACTCTTAGGAATTAAAACTGTATTTATAATTATGAAAAAGCTGAATATAAACATTGTAGAAAACATTAAAATCTGCAAGTATACAAAGCTCGAATTAAATCAACGATCCTAAAACTTTCCTTATTATATTTAAATTATAAAATTTATGCATAAACTGAGCGACGTCCAATATTAGAGAAAAAAATATCGGAAAGCAGGAATTTAAGCAAAACCCACTATCCGTAAATCGTTCGGCAGTCTTAATCATCTCGATTACCGAATTCAGGCGAGAAGTTCGGAATCGAAGAGGATTTACAGGACCGGCTGTAAATCGTGGAAAGTTTCTTTAGTCGTTGATCGATCGATTCTCCTTTTACCGTGGAACCACGTTGGTACATAAAAAGCGGCGGGCATTTGGTCGCAAATTAAAGAAAAATTCTGTAATCGAGTTCCAGACGCTCGAGGGGTCCGCGTTTACGGTCCGCCGATGCATTTCCGGCGGGAGTTTGCTCCTCGTCCCAGCACTCGAACTTTTCCAAACGGAGGATTAAAGTTGGGGAGACGAGCGACTTACACCTGCCCGCCCGAACGACGATTTATTCCGTCACGTCCCTCGCTTCCGACCCCCGCCCTCTTTCGAAACCCTCCATCTTCGTTTCTCGTCCCATCGCTCTCGTGCCGTGCTCTTTCGACCTCTTTGTTCCCGTTTCACGGCCACTCGAAACTTCAAAAGCGGTCGCTCGAGCACGCCAAAGCACCACCTTCGCGGATCGAACGGCCCGAAAAAAACCGACGAAACAAATTATAAATGTTGATCGGAGCTGCTCCGAAGCACGACAGGCACTTTTACTCGACGAACGTTAGTCTCCTTTCAGATTTCCACGAAATTACAGAGTGCCATTTATTTCCACTTAACATTAGAATTATCGATGTTAACCTTTTGAGGCCAACTCTCAGCCAGCAAAGAACTCTGCACAAAGATCTATGCAATAGCCATACAAGGTTATACGAAATCAAAGAATTTCGGAGGTACATAAAATTCATTTCGTTCGGATTCTACTATATTTCGAAAATCACCGCCCCTATAAAAAGAATTTTATAATACAGTCGGAAGTGAAGGTGTTAACGATTTTTACTGTCGCATGCCTCTGCAGTAGCCAGTTAACGATGTTGGTATTTTATTCGTTTGATATTTCTGTTGCTAATAAAATAAATATACTGGCCCGACGCTAGATGGAATATCGTATGTTGTTGACATTAAACATCAATATTAACATCAATATTTACGATACCATGTTTGCATTTGTCCGGTTGAATAACGATTCATGAGCTTAATAAACTGCGGTGAATGAAGTAATAAACACCAGCACAACGACCCTCTTTTCATCATCCTTTGCGTGGAAAAAACTTTTGTGCGACCAATCGAAAACGTATAATCTAATGTAAATATGCGACAGTTTGCTGTTGTAGAATATTATTTTGATATTTTCATTATTTAGTTCTGGGCGTATGAATTTAAGGAGTGGCAATATACTGCGAGGTAGTTCTACGCGTAGTAATTGGACACGTGGCGATATATTACGAGGTAGTTCAACACGT